CACCTCCGTCCGTTCTGATATTCATTCACCTTCAGACCGAACATCACTCCTCTCACCACCCTCCTATTACTCCTCCTCACTCCTCACATCACCTCCACCCTTCCATCCCTCTCCTACCCTACTTCCATCTGCTCTGATACTCACCTTCGGGCCTGACACCATTCCTCCTCCACTCCTCTCATCACTCTCCTCCCTCTGACCCTCTTCTGCCAAACCTCCAGCAAGTTATGACCTTCCACCACTGCCCTGTACCCTTGTCAGGGCATGCCGCTCCGCTGCGCACTGCACCCTCCCGTTGCCCCTCTTTCCTTTTCTCTCTTTATACAGACGACCTCTCCTCTCACCTGTGTAGCATGGACACGCCCAACACCGAGTACTCCATGTGGGTACTGCACCGCTGGGTACGCCATGCATCCTCATTTGTACTTCTTTCCTCTGACACTCAGGATCGCCTGCAGAGTCATCCGCAATAGCCCAGCTCTACCTGGGCTGATGTGGCACCCCACACGTGACCTGTTCCCACCTGTATATAAACTGAGCCAAAGCAGAACTGAAGAAGTAGCCTTCTTCTCACTACTGCTTCAGGCAAGTATCTTACTTTAGTTTAGTTTAGTTTAGTTTAGCCTTTCATCCTGAATGACAATCACTACTGCTTCAGCCTAAGAAGCTACATAGGGACATAAGCCCAGAGAAGGGCTGCCCACCATACAGTCTCACCGCCCCGCTGCTGTCTGGGCCGCTAGCGCCGAGCTTTATGCCACTACCTCTGCCTCTCTTGAGCCGTCCCTGACAACCCTGTACTCAGACACTGCTTGTACCTTTGCTCTGAGATTCCATCATAGTTCTGACCTCGGACTTTGACTCCACCTCGGTTGCATTGGTGATGTTAGAAACGGGCGGATTCAGATGACTCCGGAGTGGAATCGGAGACTTAGCATGGAGGGACCTTGGCCTCAGCGACTCAAGTGGAGCGCTGTGCCATTGCTGTTTGTCCATTTGGTCCTTAATTTCACAGTAGGCGAGCAGGAAGTCTCTAGGGGGCATTTCAGGTCGGTTTTGGACTGAGCCCAAAACGAGTATGTACAAGCGCCGATATATATAATGGAGGGGGCAAAGCACAAGGAAACAAAGGGGATCCGAATTGGAACGAAGATGTCCGAACAGGAACAAAGGGTAGACAGAAGCGGAGCGGTACTGAAGGTCACAAGGCAGGACCTGTGATACGTCCGAAAGGAGGTAGGGAGGGCGAGGCCCAGAGGGGCAGGAGGATGAGGAGAAGTGGGGATGATGACTAACTGGCTAGAATGGGAAGAAGCAGCAGTCCAAATAGGGATGAGGGGAAAATGCGAGAGATACATTACAAGCGGCGAAAGTGCCGAGGGTGATCTGCGAAGCTTGGAGGTTGCGGAGGTTATGGAGGCGGGGTTGAAAGTCCGAGGAATATTGGCAATGGTGTTTATGTAGTATGAGGTCACCAATGCAATGGACTAAGACCGAGGTGGAGTCAAAGTCCGAGGTAGGGACTATGTATGATGGAGGCTCGGAGCAAAGGTACGAGCGGTGGAAGGTCGTAACTTGGCGGGAGGTCGGTGGAAGAGTACCAGAGGGAGGAGCGAGGAGAAGGTAAGAGGGAAGGAGTGGTGGAAAGGAGAGTCGTCTGGTCGGAAGGTGAGTATCGGAGCAGATGGGGAAAGCGTAGGGGGGTGACGGAAGGGTGGCGGTGTTGTGAAGGAGGAGCGGAGTAGGAGGAGGAGGAGTAGTAGGAGGGTGGTGAGAGGGGTGGTGTTCGGTCTGAGGTGAGTATCGGAGCGGACGGAGATAGGGGAGGAGAGGGAAGGAGGAGTAGAGGTGGCATGGGGGGTAGAAGGAGGCATGTTGCCAGGACCGAAGGTGAGTATTGGAACGGGCAGCGGTAGGGTATGACTCCGGAGGTGAAGAGGGTGGAGGTCCAGAAGTCGGGTCGGGGTCGGGTATGCCCGGATATGACAGGTGACCTCATACTACGTAAACACCATTGCTAACATTCCTTGGACTTTCAACCCCACCTCCACAACCTCCATCCGCTCCACAACCTTCGAGCTCCATGGACCTTACTTGGCACTTTCGCTGATTGTAATGTATCTTTTGTGCTTTCCCCTCATCCTTGGGCTGCTGCTTCTCTCCATTCTAGCCAGTTAGTCATCATCCCCACTTCACCTCATCCTCCTGCCCCTCTGGGCTTCACCCTCTGTTAGAACATGTGGATTCGGGTGACTCCGGAGTGGAATCGGGGACTTAGCATGGAAGGACCTTGGCCTCAGCGGCTCAGGCGGGGCACTGTGCCATTGCTGGTTGTCCTAGGGGTCCCTAATTTCGGATCTGGCAGTGGGAAAGTCTCTTGGGGGGAATTCATGTCGATTTCGGACTGAGGTTACAAGTTACTATGTACATTGTATATAAGGAGGGGTCCGGAATCAAAAGGAGCGAGGGGAGGACAAAAGGAGACAAAGGGAGATGGAAAGAGGAACAACACCAAGGGTCAAGGGTTTGACTCAATGGTGTTTCTCAAAGGAGGAATGAAGGGCCAAGGCCCAAGGAGGAAGGGAGGAGGTTGGGAGTGGGGAATGGCTAGCTGACTGAATAGAAAGGAAGCAGCAGCCCAAATAGGAATGAGGGAGAATAGCGGAATTGAATAGGACAATGCAATAGTTGCAAGGTCCGAGGTAAGTCCGGAAAGTCCGAACTCGGAAGTTAAACTCCGGAATATTGGCAAATGTAATTAAATGGAATGAGCTAACCAATACAATGGGTATAAGTGGAGGTGGGGTCAAAGTCCGAGGTTGGAGCTAAGACCGGAGGTTCCAGAGACGGAGATGTGAACGGGATTCTGGAGTGGAGGTCCGGAGTTGGGAGCATAGGTTTTGCATACTCGTCTGGAAGGTGTCGAGGTTGGGGTCGGACCCGGAATGTCCCAGAGTCGGACCGAAGGTGGTGTCAGAGCCGGAGGTGGGATAACCTCTTGGGAGTCGGCAAGGAGGAGGTGACAGAAGGGAAGTAGGACTCTGGAAGTCAGGTTCGGAGTTCCGGGAGCCCGGAGCGGAGGTCGGGATTGTATGGATATGACACCCTCCCTATCTCCTTTCGGATGTACCACAGGTTCTAACCTATGACCTTCAGTGCCGCTCTGCTTCCCTCACCCCTTTGTTCCCGTTTGGATGCCTTTGTTTCGATTTGGACCCCCTTTGACTTCCTTGTGCTTTCGTCTCTCTATTATATACAGGCACTTGTACATACTCGTTTTAGGCCCTCAGTCTAAAATCGACCTGAAATGCCCCCTGGAGACTTCCTGCTCACTGCTTCTGAAATTAAGGACCAAATGGACAAACAGCAATGGCACAGCACTCTGCATGAGTCGCTGAGGCCAAGGTCCCTCCTTGCTAAGTCTCCAGTTCCCCTCTGGAATTATCTGCCCTTGCCCAGTTCTAACAGTTAGCTGAGGGTATGCAGTTTTTTTAAGCGGCACATGTTTGATTCTCACTTAGGAAAACTTTTTTTGGGCCCTCCCATGGAATAATTGTGTGAAATGGTTGTTTTCTGTACACTAAGGAGTGGAGGGTATGGAAAAAAAAGTTTTCCCAAGTGAGAATTGAACATGTGCCACTTGAAAAAACTGCATACCCTCAGCCAATGCTGTACCACTTATGCCACTGGGCACAAACAAGTGACTGGTAACCAAGTAATATATAAACTTTTAAACTTCACGCACACCCGGATATTGACTTCACAACCCTGGATGTGCTCCCTTAGTCTCCACAGGTTGGGTTGGGTGCAATGACTGCATGCATAAATACTAAAAATTATATTCCGCAATCTATGTACAGCTCATTACAACTTAGCATGGGAACATCACGTGTTGCAAGTTGTACCAGTCGCTCGACAGATTTCGGAGGCAACGTTGAAAGAGGGCTTGTGGCTCTCTATGCCGACTAAGCTCGTGGGGGCCAAACTCTCCAATACTCCTACTCTCTCTCTTGACTTAACTTTGCTACGCTCGATCCTTAACTCCAGTGTGGGTTCTCTGGGATTCCGCAAGGTCCGGGCTCAACTAATCTACTACCCACTGGTTGTGGGCTAGACAGTTGCCCTTATTCCTACTGTTGGAATTCCACACACTCACACCCTCTCTAGCGCATCCTAGCACCTTAGAGAAAATTGGGGGAGGGGAGAACTTCTTTTCAAAAATCCAGTATGTACAGGATTATAAGAAATAATTAGTTTTAGAAATAATAGATGGTGAATATTGGTACCATATGGCACCTGGGTACCTTATTAGTCGAAATAATAAAAAAGGGTAACAGTGACAATAAAAAAATATCAATCAATAACTGAAATGATGGCAAAATATAAAAAGAAAAGAAAATAAGCGATTTCTCAACGGATTTACGGAATTATGAACCGAAATTGGAAATCAAGCTGGAGATAACTCTCACCCAGCCAATGAGCATTTTCACCAATTTATTAGACGCCGTGGGAACGAGTGAGGCTGGAATTCTGGGTTGCCGCTTGAGATTCCCACGCCCGCACATACTGGTGACCTGACTTGCCCAACATAGAACTCTGTCAATTCTCCACCGATTGGGACGTTCTTGATATCGTCAGAATCGTACGAATTAGGACTATTTTTAGATACCGACTTCGTATCGAGTTGTCGCATGAATGGAAGGGGTTTTCTAATCATGGAAACGGGTATCCGAGCCGGCACTGTGCATGGGTGATTATCCTGCCTACAATGTAAGTTGTGGCTAAACCTTGGAGAAATCATGTGAGCAACTGGGAAGGAGTCTGGGGTCATTCAGGAAATGCTGAACCCCATGTTAGTATGATAGTTACTCTGCACACAGAGTCACCCCACAGGTAATATTACGCAATTTTCGATGCTGAAAATTTGTCATCATCTTCCCCTTTACATATGTTTTCTTACATTTCTTTTGCACTTACGTCATCCATGTTGTCTGCCAATATCAGACCTGTGTGCAGGCATTCTTGGATGTGTGCTCATCCACTGCTAGTATGATAGCTAGCGCTTTATCTCCCAGCAGCGATATACATGCGCTGCTGTTATCTTCATTGTCCTTTGAAGACTTCTGAGGGCATCTCAGCATCTCTGAGTGCCTGCTCTCTGAAGCGCCCTGCACTTCGACCCATTCTGGGCCAGCCAAATTCATGGGCCATACCCATTCCTCCCACTGTGAAGGGTCTAATATGGTCCAAGTGACCATCTCCCCACTGGTTCCATGGGGGGATAACGGCATCTCAGCATCTGCTGAGTGCCAGCTCACCAAAGTGTCCTGCACTTCAGCTTTTTCTGGGCTGGTCAAATCCCCAGCCCCTGCTCTTTCTTCTCATTAAGAGAGGTCAAAGACAGTCTATAGTAACTGGACTGAAGATCCACCTACAAACTGTGCACAACAACTGGTAAGTTGGTTGAAGTGCCACTGGGTATCGGACTCGGTGTACATATGGGAAACCGGCAAGTGCTGGAAACAACGCAGACAAAGCAAACAAAGATGAGTGCTTTGAGTGAATGGCTAACTTCAACACAGTCTACTTGACTGTCCTCCCTCTGGTTTTGTGCCAGAATGACAGCAGCTCAGCTTCCAGCTGGCTCACCGATGTCCCCTGCACATTGATTTTCTCTGAGGCTGTCGGATATCCAGCCTCAACCTGTTCCTCTTGTTCCGAGAGGCCACAGGTAGCTCCTATGACTGCTTCTCCACCGGCTCACAGTGGGGAAATGTGTTTATCAGCCTCACTGAACGTGACCTATGTCATTTCCAGTGGGGTGGCTCTTCAGCCATTGCAGGTTGCTGTCCTCAAATCCAACATTCACTGGGTCCCAACCCGGTCTAAGGATGTAGGGGTTCTAACCCCTACTCACACTCACTCTGGCTTGCTGATTTTGGGCCATATTGCACCAGCAACAGACGCCTGACTGCCTCTATCCTTATGCTTTAATTTTTATTTGTATTGTCTGTGAATCGCTTAACCATAGACCCCTACAGTTATTCACCCCCAAATGAGACACATTTTACCAATCTGAAACCTGTTGTCGCAACACTCCATTAAAAAATCCCAAAAATTTGTAAAGTATGAAGAAAACAAACTTGTACCTATGAGTGCCGATAATATGGAGAATGTTTCATCACAAAGTGAGTACGCAAGTAAGTATGAAATTGGGGTGTTCACCTATGAGACATGTGACATGGTGTGACATTGTGTTCAAGCGCTCATGCCGGACAGATGTTGCCCGCTTCCACTGATTGTCCTGCATCCTCCAGTGATGTGAAGGGCTTGTTTTGTTGAAGCTGTGGATAATCTTTGGCCATCCACTCCCTCATTTGGACCTCCAGTGGCTTTGGTGGTGCTTTTTGTTTGAGTGCGGCCAAGTGCGCTTTTTCTTTGTGCCAGCTTGTTATTTCTGCCTTCTGTGAGTTGTTGAACACTTTCCACCGCTCCTTAGCCTCTTCCTTCCATCGTTCCAACTCTTGCTCATTTAATTTTCTCTGAGCATGCTCTGCTTGGTCCCTCAAGAAACCATCATGTGTCACAACTCAGCCAAATGTCCCTTTAATGCATCCACCATCCTCCTTCGACTTCTCTGCTTCTTCCCATGCTAAGAGCTGTGTCTGAGCTTTAGACACATACATTCCCCCTAATGCCAACTGGGCATTTGCCGCATCCACTGCATCAATGGCTCTCTCCACCAACACTTGGGCCTTCCAAAACTCGTGCCGCATTTCTTGGTTTTCTTGCACTAATTCGAGGCAAGTCTTGGATCCTGAGTCGCGATTGTCTGCAAGATCCCATTTAATTGGGGGTAGATCACTAAGTTGGCCATATGCATGTTCAGGAAGTTTGAATGTTGAACAGAGAGGTGAGGAGGACACAATGGAATTTGTGGATGAAGAATATGTTCTAGGTCATTGATGGCACGCTTCTTTGCTTGGGGATGAGCTGGGGGAAAGGTAAGAGTCTCATTGGGGCTGATGGTGGTATTCTTGGTGCTGAACATCGTACACCCGGTGCCGGAAGATTGTGGTGATGCATGGAGATTGTGGGTTGGGATGTTTGTGATTTGAGAGACAGCAAGCAAGGTGCGATTGATGATTGGTCCGTCACTTTCATCATCACTAACCTCGTTGTCTGGAACATTACTTCCACCTGGGTACATTCTAACATCCTGCGAGTTGTCCATTGGTGAAGGTGTGCATTCCTGTTGGTATTTATGAGACATCAGCTGACTGTGAAAGTGCATAATGCGCTTAACAGGTGAGGCCACAGGGAGAGGAAGATCTCCTTGGGTGGAATGTTCAATACTCGGTGCAAGTTGTTCTGGGTGGATGACACTTGGGTTGACTGGATAGACGCCAGTTATGCGGAAGCTGGTGATAATGTGAGCTGGGGTTATGGTGTCTGTCCATGCTTGACCGAAGACTGATAGAAATGAGGATTTGTTTAGCTTCCTTGGGTAGTTTCGTAAATTAAAAGCATTGCGCTCCGTTGAGAAGCCCCGCTTTAAGAGGGAGAATATAACAACATCAAGCCCCTGGAGAACGTGTGTTGGGTGTGCAGGATAACATATAACAACAATGTTGTGGTTGCGTGCATATGTTATGGAGTCCAGACTGTAATGTGAGTTATGTCCATCCACTACCAGGAGACAGTAGCAGCCAGCAGCCTTGTGTTGTGTAGACTCGTTAAAGGTTTGAAGCCAGTCTAAGCCAATCTCATTGTCTGTCCACCCCTTTTCCGATACAGTGACTCTAGAACACAAAAATATGAACATACATTCCATGTAATGAATGGGTAACTTATGCGGCCTGCAAAGGATTATCCTTCAACCACTTTGAATTAACATTCTGCCCCTTAAAAATAACAACCAGAGGCACTGAAGTGCCATCTGCACAGACAGTCACAATCACACAGACATTCTCGCGATTCCCATCGTGTTGAATGTGTGCCCTTTTTGTCATCCTGCATGCAAAGACCTTGACCCTTTCCCCAGTCCCAAAATGATATTATACTGAGCTTGTAATAGCTGGAACCAGTGTTGGACAGCTGTTGGATTTACAGCACCACCCTGAGTACTTTCAAGATTGGCACTCCACTTGGGTTGAAGTCGGTCTTTGTTGCGTACTGAAAACCCATCAACCCAATTTTTGCCAAGCTTGGTGAGGGATGGGTGCCGTATCTGGGCAACTTCCAATGCATACTCAATTACACAATCGCGGGTTGCTGGGAATCCACGGTCGGACATAAGAAGAAGAAAGTCTACAAGTGTATCTGTTACGGATACAGAGTCTCCAACGACCATATCTGTCGCATTGTCATATCCGTGCATACCCGACCCCGACCTGACTTCCGGACCTCCACCCTCTTCACCTCCGGAGTCATAACCTACCGTTGCCGTTCCGATACTCATCTTCGGTCTTGGCAACACACCCCCCCTTACCTCTCCGACCCTATCTCCGTCCGCTCCGATACTCATCTCGGACCGAACACCGCTCCACTCGCCACCCTCCTACTACTCCGCTCCCCCTTCACAACACCTCCACCCTCCCATCATCCCCCTACGCTTCCCCCGTCCACTCCAATACTCACCTTCGGACCTGACTACTCTCCTCTCTGCCACTCCCTCCTCCTTACCTTTCCCCTCTCTTCTCCCTCTGTTACTCCTCCGCCACCCTTCCGCCAAGTTACAACCTTCCACCGCTGTTCCGTACTTCGCACTCGGACACCGCTCGTACCTTACTCCGAGCCTCCGTCATAGTCCCTACTTCGGACTTTGACTCCACCTCGGTCTTAGTCCATTGCATTGGTGACCTCATACTACGTAAACACCATTGCCAATATTCCTCGGACTTTCAACCCCACCTCTGTAACCTCTGTAAGCTCCGCAACCCCCGAGCTTCACGGACCGCCTTCGGCACTCTCGCCGCTTGTAATGTATTCCTCGCATTTTCCCCTCATCCCTATTTGGACTACTGCTTCTTCCTATTCTAGCCAGTTAGTCATCATCCCCACTTCCCCTCATCCTCCTGCCCCTCTGGGCCTCGCCCTCCCTACCTCCTTTCGGACGTATCACAGGTCTTGCCCTGTGACCTTCGGTACCGCTCCACTCCCTCTACCCTTTGTTCCAGTTCGGACGTCTTCGTTCCGATTCGGTCACCCTTTGTTCTCCTTGTGCTTTTGCCCCTTCCATTATATATATCGGCGCTTGTACATACTCGTTTTGGTTTTAGTCCGAAATCGACCTGAAATGCCCCCTAGAGACTTCCTGCTCACCTACTGTGAAATTAAGGACCAAATGGACAAACAGCAATGGCACAGCGCTCCGCTTGAGTCGCTGAGGCCAAGGTCCCTCCACGCTAAGTCTCCGATTCCACTCCGGAGTCGTCCGTTTCCGCCCATTCTAACACGCATAGTCAAAGACTTCTCCTCTCTATCGCTCCCCCTTTTTCTCCCTTTCGCCCTCTATCCCGATACCCTACCATCATTACTCGTTCTACCCCTTCCCCCCCTTGTGCAAAGCTTTCCTCATTGGGGTTTTGGTGCTGGCCGAGGTTACTTGTGTTTCGCAGGATTCCCCATGACCTTACCATTTGTAGATAGTCACACGTCTTGTACGGAAACTGCCGAAGGCTGTTCCTGCTAACTAACAACTACTCTCTACAACTGTCTTGTGTGTCATCTTCTGTAACAACCCTTCCTGTGACTCAACTGAACCTGTGTGACTGTACAACTCACAACATGTCTTATAAGTCTGGTTATGTCGAGTCCTCTAACGGTCCTCGCCGTGAGAACTCGAGGTCACAAGTCGAAGACTCTCAACATGTGTATCATCCTATGGAATCTGTACCCTACGGGACTTCATCACTCTGCTCTCCCCCCAACACTCAACAGACGACATCACATCATGATCTTGGAGATCGTGAATACTCTGAGGTCCACTTTCCCATGATGCCGGCACGTTCGCTATGCGAACACCAAGGGAACGCCAAGTCACCGAAGGCCCCGTTAGTCAATCCTCATTGCACACTCATGATATCAACCCGCTACCGGTACGTTCGCGCTGCGAATGCCAAGTACCCGATGGCAGTTATACGAAGTTCTCACCCACCTCACGAGTCGTGACCTCACACATGGTACGCTCCATTGAGGAGCGCCAAGTATCCATGGCTGACCTGTCCGTCCTGATGTCTCCGACTACCTACCATCAATCCCTTAATAGCTCACTACATCACCAATCACAATCGATGGGAATTCGATCGTCCACTCCCATGCAAGACTGGGATCATTCATCGATTACATATCCCGTTATGGTACAGACTAGATACGACATTCGTCATCCCACTATAAGAACGGATCAAGGAATGGGGATTTCCCCCCATCCCCATAACAGTATCACTCTCCACCTGATTCAACCATGACTGGTTTATTGAGGGTTCAAGGCGACTTTTCCCACCATTGAGCCTCTGCATGAATGTTGGATAGGGACACTCCACAATTGGAAGCATGTTCCCAAGCACTGGCCGCTTTTTCACCCTTCTGCTTTGCGCATAGAATCTCAGTTCTGTATGAAGTCAGGGTTTTCTGCATGTGCAGCTCTGTTGCCTCAGCTGCAAGATGCCTACAGCGCTCTAAGGAGTCCGCATGCCGGGCCATTTGACAAAACAAGCAAGCAAGGCAATATCGGCTCCAGGAGAGGCAGGATTGGTGATTAACTTTTTGATTGTTCGGGTAACACGGATGAAAATTATGCTTCCGACTTAGGTTCCATGTCTCATCAAAACAAACAAACCCTAACACAAATAACACTGGCCTTTTGCCCACTGCCTACATGGATGGCTGTTGGTGAGATGAAGACTGCAACATGAGGCTGGGGTGGTTAAGTTGCAAACATGGTGACTCTTCGCATTCAAGTGTCTCATGTTTCACCGATTTTTTCCTTTATTTCATCCCCGCTTGACACCAAATTTGGTACATGAGTAGTCCTAGCAACCACCTATATCCATGCCGAATCTCACCACATATGATAAAGAACTGAACAAGTTAGGTGATTGTTTCTCATTTGGGGGTGTGTCTCATTTGGGGGTGAATAACTGTAATCACTTTTATTGTCTTTGTCTTCAGAGATCAACTCTGAAGGGCCTCCACTTCCTTTTTTTGAGTTTCTCAATTGTATTTCTTGTGTGAGGAAAAGTTATGAATTTGATTATGTAACTCTTACAACAACCATGGCTTGATGAAAATGAGTGGGCAGTGCAGAGTTCAGCGAAGCGCGAAGTGCAAGCACTCTAGTCTCTGGTCAGAGGGACTAAACCTATTTTGCACACATCAAAATTTTCGATTCAAATGTATTTGCAAATGTATATTATCATTGAAAATAAATTAAAAACCTCCACTATGCCAATAGTTAGCCTTGTTTCCTTGCTTGTTTGTTGTTGCGGGATTCTTGATGGGCACTGCATGTCCAGTTTGGGGGAATGTAGGACCCTAGACCCTGACATGACCTATGGAACTAATTTGTCTGTCAGAAAACAACAACAGTATTAAGGTACAGTAAAAGGCATATACCCAAACCGTCTCACAGCCCATCCCATTACACCTAACAACATTAGTGGCATTGTCAATTTCACTTGCGGTAACTTTCATGGTACAACACATATGAATGCCAGTAGGACGTTTGGGAGCATGGCACATTGGATGGCCACTGGAATAGGTGGTTGGCAAAGCT